TTAATTCAGACACACAGAGAGTATACTACTCCGAGTGGGTCGGTGGAGCTTTGATCTTCATGAAAAATCAGAGGTCAAGACTTCGATTTCCAATTTCATGAGCAGATTGTCCAAAGGCAATAGTTAATAACTCTCTCTCATCACGGCGGATCTATAGCATCACCCTCTATCCGAGATGAGATTTCGAAGGTGCTTGCCCTGGATACGAGCCTTGAAGTCACAAATCAGATTTATCGGAGAAGATGCATGACCTCTTACGCGCTGTCGTAACTTTATCAAGTCTGTTGCCACTTTAAATCACTAGGCTGCAGTTGACTCACACCAAGAAAGAAAGATAAGATAGAGTGCACTTACCTCCTAACACTTTAGTGATGAAATTTTGCGGTTTAAACATCCTCGGACTGATAACGATTTACGGGTGAAATAGCTGCTAAGCTAAACGCTAGCGCATTAAAAAGAATGGTGGACTACCTAAAGTCAACTGCGTGAACCGATAATCCGAAGACGAAGCAAAAAACGCAGCGCCTACTAGATTTTGTCTTGGCTTCTCATCGCTTGGACAACTCGAATAATTTGTTAGTATTTTTGTTTGGGATATGAATGGTTACTGCAAATAATAAAAATTTCAATTAATTGAAAAGTTGGTGGGTGGTAACATGGATTGGTCCGGGGTGTGGTCAATTGTTGAAATATTATAAAAATGGCAGGCGTTTTGATAGTTACCATTAGCCTTTTAGTTGATTTCAGGCTTCACAGAGGGGAAGGAACATCGAAGTGAAAAAAAGTCGAGACGGGGGGGGGGAACAGAAGAGTGTTTCAAAGACGAAGGTAGAAAAGATAGAAAAGCTTGAGATGAGTACTGTGGAAGTAGTCGAATATGACATATAGTGGGGTGATGGTAGTTTGAAGTCAGAAGATAACGGCCGAACAACAGACTTTTTGCAGTATGAGTATACGTTGCCCATGGTGCACCACAAGGAGGTAAGTCCATTGCACACTCCATTGTTGAAATATCACCAGTTATCAAATGAACCAATAAAAAGGACAATGGTGAAGCCAGTTTTTACAATCTACCGTTGAATTTACTCCCAACTTCATTGATTTGTATAAAATTTCCTGAGACATTCCTTGCTTCAAATTTATGGACTTAATGGGACTGAAGAGGCGAAGTTCCTTAAAAAGCTTTTAGAGTTAGATGATTGCTTCAAGCATTTTGATACATTGTAAGACATTCACGTCTAGCCTTGTTTAAATGAATGCCTTACAGTTATGACTCTCCATACATACGTTAGTCTGAAGTTAGAAGAGCCCTCGATAATAACGTCACATTGAAAATATGGTGATGAAAGAATGTGTAAGGGAGCACGTGTAGATCCAATTCTCTCCAAATTTTTACGACGCTAATCGGTTTAACAGTATTACAAAAGCCAACCAATTAATGAACATAACGAAAGCCGTTTTTTGAGACCTTTCCCTAGTAACATTTGAGATCAGCCTTTTCCAGATTCCAGGTATTTATTTATCTGATAGGTTGATAGTTATCATTAGCCCTTTAGTTGACTTCAGACTTCACAGAGAGGAGGAGGAACAGCAAAATGACAAAAAGTAGAGAGGGGGAAAGAATAATGATTCACAAATGTAAAAGAGACAGACGGACACAAAGGCGGAGAAAAGGAGAGATGAGTACTGTGAAGGGGTCGAATATGACATGCAGTCAGGTCATGGTAGTTTGAAGTCAGAAGGCAACTGACGATTAAGAGACTTTTTTTGCTTTATAAGTATACGTTTCCCAGGGAGCACTATGTGGAGTTAAGTCTATCGCACACTCCAGATTCCAGGTATGAAATTAGCACAATTTCCATGTTTATAAAATTTAATTTTAAAAATTTTCAATTTTGTTGTCCCTAAACCGTCTTTTTATTTCCCCGACGAGACCATTAAATTTAATACCAAAATTCAGTTACTTTACTATTATTTGACGCTAATTACTTCCACTTTTATATACGTATATATTTCAAGAATTAAAAGGCGGTGAGAAATTCCGTTGATTCCAGCGTTTGCTAATTTTAGATAGACATGCTGATTTGTTAGATAACAAAGTCTTACGATTGATAGCGGTTCAATTGTCACAAAGCTGTCTAAAACAAGATAGGGTAATTTCAACTCACGACAATTTACTTGAAATTAATGTTTATTCAATCACAAACTATTTGAATGCTTCAAACTGCTTCCTCTGATTTTGGTGTCCAGATTGTCACTGGTTAATCAAAAAACGCGATCCACAGAGGGATTTTTGAATCCCAACTAAATATTAGCAATACCAATTTATATTCACTATGAAGGCACGATGATGAAATAATTTTTACTGCTTGTAATAATGGAATAATACGATTTTCTTCCACTAATTTACGGACACAATTTTTTGCTGAAAATGGAAGAACTAATGTATATATATATATGTGTAGATATATATATTTCTAAGTCAATCAAATGTAGTTTACTTTGGCCTAATTGCTTATAGGTGCAGTTTAAACATCTCGTAATACAATATTGCAGCATTATTGAGGAGAGAATGCAAAGAAACCCATTACACTGTGTGTTTGTGTGTGCGTTGATCACTATTCATGTCCGAATAATACTAAGGTATACATAACCAACCCTACCTTGGTTCTTCTGCTTGTTTGTAATACTCTCATGCGTCTCTCTCCAGTTCTCCGTGTCTTCCCCTCCAATACATCTATGATATTTTAATCTTTTTTTTTCATAGGCACAACATTTGTCCACATTCGATATTAATCCAAATGGTACTGTGCGTTTTCCTTAAACGTTTCTGCTTCTGTCAACTATTAACAGACCACGGCATAATAATTGAACATTTATATTTCTAAGACTGGTATGAAACGTACCTCCATGTATGGCTTTAAAGGCCTTAACTTTGGGGTGAAGAGAGGAGGAGGATTCAGTGTATGGATTGTGGACTTTCATTTTTGAAATATGCGGTGATGGAATTTCAAAGGCATTGGAGAAGATTTCAAGGGATCCGTTTCCGTGTTGGATGACGTCGTTATTAATGAAGAAAGGATGATTTTATTGGTGCTCAAAGTCAGGCCATTAGGGACCACATCATATGCTACGCCATCTTGTCGATTTCTGGCGATACCTTCAAACTTTATTCCTTTTAACTAATGATCGTGCACGCAAACAGATTTACAAGTTGCAATAGTCCTTTGCTCTTTAAGGTGAGCATGGGAAGATTCAGTCTCTTGAGAGAAGGGCACCGTGAAATCCACCTCGGCACATTATCCCAATAAGGGCTTCGCAGGGACTATAATCATTTACACCAGAATGGGGTGGTGTTTCGTACGTTTTTGAGAATCAATTCCGTCATTCCCTGCTCATGTAATTATGAAGTTACTTATTTCATGGTAGCAGCAAATCAGCCTTTTTTGACCATTCCACTTTGGTAGAACTTGCCAAAAGTAGATGAGAGTGCTGCAAAGATTCGGCAGCCAATTGGTCCTCGCTTTTTTTGCATGGCATCCGGGAGTCCACGTGCCGAAAGTTGCGGCAAGGATTGTCTGTCATTGTAGTAGTTATGCTAAATTATAGCAGGGGAAGAAGGACTTCGAGCCACTTTGAGTCCACAACAAACAGAATATGATAGAGCCGTATTTTTGGCCATAAACGAGGTCCCCGATGAGGCTGAAAGTTTAGTTGCTTATTAATATTTAGAACATCTCTGGACGTCTGCTTCGATAGTCTCGTCCCCTCCAGACCAATATGTTTGATTTGGTAATAGATTTCATGCGGTTGGCCTCGAAATTATTACCGCAGAAGTGTTGTAGAGAAGTTCGTCTGAGTTCAATGAGAAAAAAATATGAATCAATTAAAAGTAAATTACTATGTCGACTATTGCGTTGCGGAAGATCGTCTCTTTTGAGTTCACCTTGATCATCCAATTCCATTGGATTTAGTAGCTGTTAATAAAGAGAACAGTCGACGAAATTCATGTCAAAGTATGCAGCAATATCATCGAGGCAAGATATAATAGTGGCCAATGTTTGTTGAAAAATAACAGGTACTCTTATGACACTAGGGTAAGTCTTGTACATTAAAACGGACCCTGATATGATTGATTGTCAGTAACTCTCGCGATTTAATGCAATTTCAATTTGTAAATCTACTTTTTATTTGACTATTTCTGTTTATCCGTAATAACATTACCAATGTCATTCGTATTTCTTTACTGTCCTAAGAGTTTCTTATTTATAAGCTCATCCCTTCATTAAGATATTTGAAAAATCTGAACTATATTTTCATCACTTCATGCTCAAAATGTGTAGTAACAAGACATTAAAACATGACAATTATTACCTTCAATCACGTGATGTGCTAAAGATCTTGTTTAGTTAGAGGAGGAATTATTAGGAAAGGCCCCAGGGTCCAGATCCATAAATTCGCTCCTACCGATGCCCTAGTATTTTTCTACCAATTATAACTTTATCCAAAAGTACTTAACAGTAAACACATAAAGTTGGAAAGAAAGGAGTAATGAATTAGGTACAAATTGACATTAAGAGAATTTACTCAATTACTCTTTAGGAAAGTACGTGATACTTCCCATAGCTATATGTCGAAGCCTTAAAAGCAAGGTTAAACATTTTATAATCCTCTGCATAGAAAAGTTCTTGGCAATATTCAGTTTAAATGAAAAGCTAAGTTTTCACCTTGGAACTCAGGTAAGCATCCATCTCTTTCTTCCAATGATAAAAATCTCCCAAGAATGAGGTTAAATTCTTGACTACAAAATTGCTTACAAAAATGGAAGACTTTGAATATTTTCCAAGCTGTTAAATGGTGTTATAATTTCTTCCAATGTTTAACAGTCAAGGCTAAACAAGGGAGGATTTATGAATCATACTTAAATAACCTCAAAGTTAAAACACTCTCACATTGCTACATACTCTGCACAAATTTTATTTCAAAATATTGATCAGATTATGCGTTATGCTCAGAAATTGGGCATACTTATAGTATTTCTCGTCGGTATATCTCATATTTTGCTCATTACTTCCTTAGGTTTAATTGCAATAAGTCAATTATATTTATTCAATTACTCTCCTAAAAGTGTTTCCAGATTCAAAGATGAGCTGCTCCATCCTGATACAGGTGGCACTGATTTGAGTATTAAGCGGCTAAAGTAATTTGTATTCATTTTACCGTAGGCTTAGAAACTCCCTAGCGAAACCTCTCGCCAAAATATTCAATGCCAATAAGGTTCTATTTGACCAAAATGTGGACAAATTTCGAATTCGACCTAGGCTACCAGTCAAACGCATAATCGTATTCTGATATATGTTTTTCGTTAACTCATTTCCTTAGGTTACTGGTGGGGCAGGTTTTGTCGGCTCTCATCTGGTTGATGTTCTTATGAGTCAGGGTCATAATGTGACTGTACTTGACAATCTTTTCACTGGAGATTTGAGAAATATTGCCCAATGGATGAAGCACTCACGCTTTAAATTTATTAATTTCGATGTTTCAAACCCAATATACTTGGAGGGTCCGTGGACTTATTCCCTATTAATTAACTCCTCTCAAAGACGCTGGAATATTAATTTTATTACTTTTTAGCTGATCAAATCTATCACCTGGCCTCGCCAGCTTCTCCTCCTATTTATATGGTTAATCCAGTTGAAACCTTGAAAGCAAATCTTCTTGGAACGATAAATCTTTTGGGTAAATTGCATCATTTTTTCTATTTTTGCATGTTGTAGGGCTTGCTCTGCGTACTGGAGCGACATTCCTCTTGGCATCTACATCGGAGGTTTACGGTGGTGCGTGGTTTCTTTATCTAATTTTCCTAAACATTAGACTTCTTACCTACTCCTTCTACAATCCTTATAAGTAATAAGTAGAATTTTCTGTTTTTATTAAGTCCATAATATATCTTTAATGTTTTTTTTCCGGCGAAACCGTGACAGTTGTTTTTATCTAAATTTTTCTGAGTTTTTTTTTGGAGATTGTGGATTCCCACTTCAGTTATTAATTATGTTTATGGTGATCGAATTTTTTATTTTGAATCCATAATAGATCAAGATTATTCGAAAATACCTTACATTATCGGATTTCAATAGTTTTAAGAGTCATTAATTTGGCCTAAATGAAACCTTTTAAAATGCATTTTGCGTTTTTAATTCGTAGTGGGAATTTTTTGGTTATGTAAGGACATTTGATATCATATGTTGTTTTAACAATTCCTTAATCCTCTTTTAAAGCCTACTCATGAACGTGCGTTAAATTGAACCAAAATACTCGAGTCATAACTGTTAGATCCGTTATTCCCGTTGGGCTCTTTGCTTTTTGTTGTGGTTGAAAACTTTGTTTTTATTTGCCCTTGTTCTTTTTTGCGCCCTTGGGTACCCTGTAGTTTTCATTTGTCCTTTTCATAGATCCTGAAGTCCATCCTCAATCAGAATCCTACTGGGGAAATGTTAATCCTAATGGGGTTCGATCTTGTTACGATGAAGGCAAGCGTGGTGCTGAGTCCCTCACCTACGCCTATTTTAGAAGTGTAAGTAGTATATATATATTACTACCAAGTCGTGACTTTACTTATACACTCACTTTGCTATTGAACGCTTCCCTCGATTTTGTTTTTTTTGCCTTCTATACAGAAAGGTGTTCCTATTCGAGTGGCTCGGATCTTTAATACTTACGGTCCTCGAATGCAATTAAACGACGGACGAGTGGTCAGTAACTTTATTCTTCAAGCGCTCTCCAATAAGGATATATGTGTAAGTTGTGCAGATTCATTCGTTCATTCATAAGCATAGTTTAAATTGGCTGATGGGCACCACTCTTAAATGCCTAAATGCATATTGACTTTTGGCTAAACCTCAACACTTAATGTGATCTAGCCCCCTTTCTAGCACTAATATGTGTTCCACTGGTCTGCCATGTGCTTTTATAGCCCATTTTTGTCGGAATAGGGGGGGGGGGGGATTTCCGTAGGTACACTTCAACACAGACCATTCTAAATTATCGCCTTATTAATACACGCTGTGTAAAGAAATTTAAAGCCCTACAGTGAGTATTTAAACAGAGGAACAAAAATTTCACTCATAATCATGTTTGTGTGCCTTTACAATTAGGATAAATGGGCAATATCAGAATTTAATTGTTTGTTCGCAATTAGTACTGAAAAATTAATGCCCTTTTTTGGTTCAGCCTTCTCCAGGCACAGAGGTCTATTTAGTGCATAGCATCAATGAATGGTTGCAATGTTTTGGAGATCACTAATAAGTAAATGGGTGACTTTATGGTATCATAGTTAATGCGTAAGCAATTGATTGAAGTAAAACCTTTGTATGCTAAAGTACTTTTGTGAATTGCAGCTGAAATTTCATACAATAGCAATAAGTTATAGTTGGAAATCGATATAGGTAAGCACGCGCCCGTTTTTCAAAAATGTTACAAATAAATAGTAATTCTTTATTTACCGTTACTGTCTGTTTCTAACTCTTAGATTAAAATGTTCAGGTTAATTTTGGCAGCGTCGAGTGTCCTAGAGCCACTCCCATACGAGACTCACATTCTTGGTCTGATTTGATTAAATCAGTGTGGTTGGCCACCCGCATCGATTTCATCTCATATTGATATATTTTTGAAAATGAAATTAAACTCACTTAACCTATTAGTGATTCATTAGCTATTCGTTTTTCGTTAATATGTACCTATGAATTTGCAAATACAATTAAAAACTACTATTAAATTTACTCCCTTGACTAAATTAGCACTTTATGCGCTCTTCCCTTAGAATTTTACTATCAACTATTTTCGCAGTTTTCGCTGCAACAACAGGAAACTGGAATTTTCCCTCTGGTTGAAATTCAGTGCTGTAGATCTCGAAAGTGCTAAATTGCATTTTTATTGCTTTTTTGGAATTTTAAGTCGATTCCTAATACTTGCTTAATCTCGTGACGTTATTTACGTTCTGTCATTTGTGGCTAGTTAAAGAATTTAACCAGGTTATAATAATTAGTTTTAAACTTCAATGCCGGTTTTGTTAATATCTTTAGATGTATGGTAATGGAAATTTCACGCGTTCCTTCATGTACATTTCGGATCTCGTTGAGGGCCTAATCCGTCTCATGAATGCCAACATCACCGATCCCGTCAATCTGGGCAATCCTCTCGAATTCACCATCCACGAATTGGCCGTTATTGTCAAAAATCTCACTGGTACTTTCAACACTGTTTGAACTTTAATTGTCATACATTTTATTTACAGTTTCCTCGCAAATTGATTAGTCCTAGTGCTTTTAAACAATTGGTATTATCTTTACCGCACAAAAGGCCCACAAACCCAGAGAGCTCGTCTTATCTGAATTTTAGGCGAGTTACAACCTCAGGGAAACCAATTCAAACACTATGGAGGTAATTGAGAACAAGAATTTTTTGTTCGGAAACCAGGTGTCCTCTTCCATTAGGCCTCATGACCTTTGTGGATAACGGATTTTGTTATCCCAATTAGTAGAAGGAAAATCTTATCGTGTGCCTCTAGGTTACTAATTCATGAAACAGACACTTCACTTTTAAATCGGTGATATTAATGGCAATAATAAATGGCTTTGACATTTTTCTACTTTTCGTGGTTTTTTTTCTTTTCGAGCTAAAAAGGCATCTATTATCCGTTTTAATTTGGTTTGTATTTGAGAAGAAATATATGACCGTATTTAACGTATCCTGACAACGTATGTACATGAGGCTGGGAGGCATTGACAGAAAGTCGCATGCATTTCGACTCGTGGCCATATTGGCCATTGCAACTACTTATATCGTTTACTAGTAGCGTATTCTCTTTTCCTTTCAGGCAGTTCTTCCAACATAACCAACTGTCCAGAAGCTATCGATGATCCCAAACGGAGAAAACCAGATATAACTCGTGCAATAACTCATTTGAACTGGGAGCCAAAGATCCAACTCAAAGAGGGCCTCCGGTTGACTATCGGTGCATTTCAAGAGGCCCTCAAGAATCCGTCGCTTCGGATGAAGAACCCAAATCTCGCAAGATATTTATCTGATGAACAATAGACACGCTAGATATCACAATGTCTGTGTATACATTTAAATATCTTAAAATTTGCTTTTTTATGTTCCTTAAATTTACTGTGGTAATATATTGTGTGCATTTGGAGATTTTTTGTAAATTGTGTTTATTATCAAGCGCTTGAGAACTATTTTCTTTTCTTTATCATTGACTTTTCACTTCACTGTCACCAGTCATGAGGAAAGCAAACAAGCCAGAACCGGGGCTGATACATTGAGGATATATATAATGCTAAGATAAGCTAATCTCCTTCCCACATGCTTCCTGGTAGTGGCCAATGGAGGTAGATGATAGTATCCTCTCACCCTTTTACCTTCCAAATATCTTAACCTCATTTTTCTATCTACCTTTGTCGAGTTGGTGTCTGACACTGTAAATATCGACCAAATTTCATCTAGGAGTCGATAGAACGTTAAAATGAAGCGCTGATAATTTTCAATGAGATCGAAAATTGAAAAAAACAAGAATGATTACCATTGGCATTCTGCGTGCCTGTTTTCTTTATTTTCTCATAGTTAAATCTCATATAAAAAGCAACTTGGCTGGAATGGTGCATTTATCAGTGCAATCCCATCTTGCGATATGACTCATTTTATAAGCAATTCTTTATTATCATCTCAAAATGAGCCTTATTGGTATTTATGATTGCATTTGTTTTTCAATTAATAGTTTGGCTTGTAATCGTCTTTTTTATTATTGAAATTTTCAGGTTGCAACCAAGATGAAAATTTCACCTTGGAAAGGTGTTAAAATTGTTTCACCTTCATTGTCAGCCATTGGATAATTCAAGCAAAGGTATAACATGCAAACTCGAGTGATCTGGAAGGTGCGGCCGTGCTACTAATCCTGCAAGGAAAAAGTGCAGTGAAAGTGCAGAGATCTCTTACCCAACCAACATCAATAATGGAATTAATTACAAATGGATGATTAAGCTTCGTGTCAGTCTGTTACCGTCGCGGTGGTTAAGCTAATTTCGGGGGTAGTTTTGCCAAAGAAGAGGGTTGAGGCTTAGTCATGGCTTATTTATGCTGCATACGCACCAGAGGATTGAAAACGATGTCATCTGCAATCTTTCATTACACGATTTTAAGTTACTTTAATATTAGTTCAGGGGAGGGGTGTGTGATAGACTTACCTTCACGTGGTGCACCCTGGGCAACGCATACTCATATGACAAAAAATGTCTATAAACCGGTAGTTGACTTCTAACCACCATGGCCCGACTGTATGTCGTATTCGACCACTTCCACAGTACTCAACTTACCTTTTTATCTATCTTTGTCTGCCTGTTTCTTTTATATCTGTGAATCACTCTTCTGTTACCGCCCTCGGCTTTTCCTCCCGTTGATGCTTCTTCCCTCTGTTAAGCCCGAAGTGAACTAAAGGGCTAATGATAACAATCCAAACGCCTGCCATTTGAAATAAATATTGAATGAGGAAGTAATGGGAATTAATCAGTTTACAAATAAAAGAATATTTACGCTCTTGTCAAATTCATTACCTTTAAGTTCGGCAAAAGATCGATTTTGCCCTCATTTCCTCATATTTTCACCACAATTTTTTCCTTAGGTGTTCCTCTACTTTGTGCACTGGCTGTTGGTGTCTTGGTAACTATGACAATTTTTTATATAAAATGAGGCTTCAAGTAACTGTGTTCATTTTGACGAAAATTTGGCTAATATGGGATTGTTATATTTTTCAAAACGTTCAGGGAGTGAAGGAAAGAAATGATGAGTCATACATCAAACAGATAGGATATAATAATGTTTCCTTGAGTCTTGAAGTATATCCGTTCCAATCGATTTCCAATAAGTTATTTGTCGATTTTCCACACTTTCAAGCTGTGTAATTGAAAGGATCGGTGCCCATATTTAACTAATCATATTATCTTCATTAGTCATTTTTTTTAAATTCGGGTCGGTGAACATCGAGTTCGACTATTTTAAAGCTTGGTACGTAATAGACTTACCTCCACGTGGTACACCCTGGGAAACGTATGCTCATACGGCACCCCACTCTATGTCATATTCCACTACTTCCACAGTAATCACCTCACCTTTTTTCTACCTTTGCGTCTGTTTCTTTTACATCTTTGAAACACTCTTCTCTTCCCCCCCCCCCTTCCTCTCGCCTTTTTTCACTTTGATTTTTCTTCCCCTCTGTGAAGCCTGAAGTCAACTAACGGGCTAATAATAACTATCATAATGCCTCCNCACAGTACTCACCTCACCTTTTTTCTACCTATGCGTCTGTTCATTTTACATCTTTGAAATACTCTTCTCTTCCCCCCCCCTCCTCTCGCCTTTTTTCACTTTGATTTTTCTTCCCCTCTGTGAAGCCTGAAGTCAACTAACGGGCTAATAATAACTATCATAATGCCTCCCATTTGATATAAATAAATAAATAATATTTAAAAGCATTTACCCTACACAAATGTACCTCTAATTTATAGTTAACTTCAGTAAAGTACTGGGCACAAATTTAATTCCGTCAATGATCAACTGCTTGGCACCTCTTTGCTGCATTCTGGACTAGAAATGGTTCAACTTCTCTACTCCATTTAAATTGCAGACTTCTAGTTGATGGTTTCTCTATTTGCGCATTATGTAGGCATTAATGAAGCTAATAATTCAAAGTAACTTGTCTGAACTGTAAATGAAAGTAAAACGAGGCAATACAATATCGTTGCCACAACATCGTTTCATGTCATAACCATGGCCGCGGAAAGCAATGGAGTAGCAAAATACTTTTTAATTATTGATTTGTTGTCTGATGAGTAATTTTCTGTCAAACTAAACACGAAATATCGTCAATCGATTCAAAACCCGAAACAATTAGTCTAAATGGGCTTTTACTTACATCAATAAAGTCTCTCTTCGTTTTGAATGACAAATGCTTTAATTATTATGCCATGTTTTAATTATGAACAATTTGACAATTCGTTTTCCATTTTAAACGCCTTTTGGACTCAAGTATTCGCATGCCACTTCATAAGGCGCATAGCAATTAATTTGGGTTCTCATGGTCTAAATATTTTTCTTGGCACATTTTGACGATTTGGTATCCATTTCATTATTGGCTTCAATAACGATCCATCACCACTTTTGCACTCAAACATCATAGTGTCGCAATTCAATAACTTGGGACGTCCTTGAGTCTTTAAGCACTTATCTCACATTGAGTACTTTTAAGCAGATATCCACGCTAACAAATGAAACTCGCTATATCCATCACACTGTAGCTCTTACATTTACAAAATAGATTGCCCTCTCTCTCTATCGAACATTCTAGAGCGTGGAAAGCTACTTTAAAAAAACCGTAATATGAACCAATCGAGCTTGATCAAGTGGTCAATTATTTACTAAAATGCAATTCTATTCAAAAGTATATGGAAAAAGAGTAAACGATAGTGGTTAGCAACTTTTCACCACAAAGGAAACTCATGGTGAAATTTGGATATGAAAACTTTTGCAATTTAGATGCTACTCTTCACCATTTTTTAGTATTTACTTTTCTTTATTGACCATATTCCGAGGTCAAATGCTCAAAATGTGAATGTTGGGCAAACTGCGTCTGTGTCAGCTTGCACGAGAAACATTCCAAGTTCCTTGTCAGCCCATATTTGCTTCTACACTGATCTTTTCATTAATTTCTCGAAATGGGAGCTTTATGCATTTGTTCCATCAATGCGTTGGCTCTGGGTAAAGATTAATTTTCAATGGAATTTCCACAGCATAGTGTGATGAGAGGTAACCATAGAGTGATAAGAACTTGGTAATTTAGGGGGGGGGGGGGGGAATTTGATTCATTCATCACAAAGTAAATTAAAAAAGAGGCTTAACAAATAAGGTTAGAACTTTAATTGTGTTTTCACTGCTACGCCAAGACTGAAAGCTGCCGATTGCCACACAAGAACATTTTGCCTTCCCGACCGTGACCGGTCCATCTTGGCTATTAAAGCGACCAAAAAATAGAACTGTACAAGGCTGGGAAGCATTTATTGCAATCCAAGTGGATAAAGTATAAAAAGTAATTCCGGAACGGAGAGACATGTAATAACAACTCTACTGCCTGAGTCGAAAATTCAAATGATGAAAGACTCTGGATATCCATGCGGTATATTTTGAGTACCTCCCCCCCCCCTCTTTCTCATTATCAAGACTTTCCACTAATTGACTTCAGGCGCATTCTACCGTTTGAAGTTGAAAAGCACTTGTGTAGCAATGGGAGTAAAATTAGAAAATACATTAGTTCATTTTCAAAATGAGGACCTATTCCAGCACATTGGAGATGCCAATCTAGTCCAAAGTTCTTCAGTTAATACCGTCCGTGTTTTGAAATCAAGTGAAACAAATCTACAACTGACTGTCAATATCAAAATCACACCTCCTTCACTATAACTCTGCTTGAGAATAATGATTGATTCTTACACAGTGACAAATCATATTAAAAATTTATCGCAAATTATTTCCATATTTGTTAAAAAGGAGCGAATTGCAGTAGCATTAATTCTCATACCTTTGTAGTAAAGCCACGCATTTGTTCAATAACAGGTCATAATTAAGTTCTAGGGCTTGAGAGTATTTGGGAAGTCAATATGGTTAAAACAAACGCCAAAAGGTTCAATGTTTTGAATTCTGACGCTGGTGACCCAGAAAATTATATTTTATAGCCATCATCACAATTTATTACATTGAATTAATCAAATCATTGTATTGAATTTGAATATTATTCAGTTTTCCTAACCTTATCGATGTAGAGTATATACACGAGCAATATTTTGAGTAGCACATAATAATATGCAATATATCAACAAATTTATGAAAGAACTAGCATTCAACCCTATTTAAATTTCACCGTTTTGAGTAATGCATCACATTTATCTTGGCGTCATTTAAAGATGTACAGCACAAATATGAAAAATTTAATATGGTGCAGCAGTATGGGTCACATTGAAAGCAAGTCAACCGATAAGGCGCATTCCAAAATATCATTTTAATCTATTTACATATTCCAATCATATTCCTTTAACTTTGCTAAAACGCTCACTAAACGCAAAATAAGCATTCTTCCTGTTAAGGCAACTGCTCCAAATTAATCCGGTAATCTGGAAAGACACCTTACATAAAATCACAATCATGCCAGTCTGGGCAAAGAAAAAATCCAGAACCCCATCGTTGTAGCGACGACGCGAGGTCAATTTCTTTACGAATTATATGCTCTGTCATACCAAGCATATTTTCAAGACAACATTCTGGTAAAATGACGATTTGTCAAGTTCGTTGTTAGCTATTGCATTTATCGAACTGAGTAAGATTGTATTAAGAATTGATAATCTCGTAATGTTAATTATGAAAATTATTTTTTTCAAATTGTAGTTATTTAACTCGAGATGATATGCAAAAGTGATCTCAAAGAATTAGAAAATCTCCCAAATTTCTCTGCAATGTACTAATTTGTAAAGCTAGATTTTCTTCATAAATTGAACTGTTATTTGGACATGCCTGATATGCTGCCTCAGAGCAGAAATGTAGGAGTGGTAATGGTATTTTGAATGTTCAGCGCGCTGACTCAGTTATCACTGACAAATTAATTCGAAAATGATAAATGTTCAAACGACATGTTTCGTCGAGCAAAAGCAAGCATTTACCTATGCGATTTGCTCTCATTGAGAAAATTCCCCTTTTTGGTATTATTTGAAAATAGCAATACTAATATGGCACAACTCATGCTTTTCACTTAGAAAAGCCACGATCTTTTTACATTCTTAGTAGAATTCTCAAATACGGCATGTGATAATTAGGCGCCTAAAACGAAAGTGGCGGGAGTACATAGTTTTCATTGAACATTTTACTTTTTATGAAAATTTGGTTATAAGACACTTTATTCTTTGTTAGCTGAGCGAATGGCACTTAATTGAGGTAGATGAGATTTAAAATATTTGTTTTGTATGACCAGAAGCGTGTATTCGTTTGTATTTGAACTATCTCTGAGGGTTCCAAAATGTTCCGAGCTGGGGAAGTGTGCAGTTGTAAAGAAAAAAAGTGAGATTTCTACTACTGGAAAACAATTTTAATATCAGCGATATTAGGCAAATGGAATACTTGTGACACTATGATGTAAAGGGTGGTGATCACGTCTGTCAAGTCAGAATTCAAGAGTTTGTTTCTTGGTTTTGCACAACCTGTTCAGCAGTTAATAAGCTCTCATGCTAATTGTGGTAAATTTGACAGATACCGGATGTGAGCTTATCAAACAGGTGACATCAAAATTTTATTAATTTTGAAATAGCCAATTACTATCACAAAATATAATTGTTTGGAAACATTTCAGCACAATTAGGGGAATATTATATGTACAAACTGGTATCATTAATGTTTAGCAGCTAAATAATGCTTGAAAATAAATACAAAATCGATTTTATGAGAAGATGCTTTGTTATTCTTATGCGTTTAATGCGATTAAAGAGTACTTGGTATTTGGGAATAATATGGAACAAAATAGTTATGTTATCAAAGATCCATTGGCAAATAATATCCATTAGTTTATCTTTTAAAAATAAGTTCAATATTCTGTGATGAATCCTGTTTAATTCTTGATAATGGCGCAAACAACATAGAGCCATTAAAAATGTTGGCTGAACAGAATATTTAAAAATATTACAAAGACTTACTATTTGTTGAAAAATTTTAAATTATCTAAAGAATTTTAAACCTAAAGTTATTATCCTAAACATATAATCTGCTTCTCCATTTAACAGTGTTCTATTCGAGCTAATTTGTTAAAAAATTCGATCAAATCGTAATTAAACTATCCAAAACATCGTTGTGAACGTTTTTAACATGATTTGTGACTTATAAGCGTTATTTCTTCTTTCTTTTAAGGAGCCTATATGGTGTCAAGCAGCCCACCAAGCAGGACAATATTAATGATAGAAAACTTTACAAGACTTAGAAACTCATTTAGAGTTTAAATAGATGGACTCTGTAGTGCACTCATTAACTCAGAATTTCGATCATTATAGAAACATCTCAGTGACAGACACTGTCAAGGATGAAAAGCATCTAATCAACTATCGTTCCATGTGTTTCTCATTGAGTGGATAAACCTCAATCAGTGTTTGCGCCATTCCTCATCGCCTTAAACAGATCTTCTCATACTCTCTAATATTTTTACAAGTTTATTAGCAACATGCAAGATATCCTATTCAGGTCTTGGAGTTTTTACAAGCAATGGGGATTATTTCAAGAAAGACTTGGATCATTATTAGTTTTCAATAGACATTTAGTGCAATTCTATCTATAATCCGAATTAAACTTATTGTTGAAATTTGAGAAAATTTAATTTACATTAAATCACTCGACAATGTGAAGCGTGAGTTAAGGGAAATATATATTCATAAGCCATAGTAAAGCAAAAACTTTTCCGATTTCGAATTAGCATTTATTTTGAATCATTTTATTTTGCGATACTATTTCAAACCTTGAATTTTCTATCTACGATACTCGCCACATTCATCAATAATTATTTGCAAATATAATCGATTTTGATCTTTAAATTTCATTTTTTTATTATCTTTACTGAATTATGATAAGTACATTTATATTTACAAAATTTTATTTTGTTGTGCTTCATAAAACTTTATAAGTATCTAATGCATGGCGGCAGTTTATTCTATTATCTCTTAACCAATCACTTTAATTAATATGCGGTTATAATGCTTGACGCCGATTCGGTTTTTGATCGCCTCGTAAGCTTAATTTCACATTTTAAAATTTGTTATTAGTTAAAGGAGGCAACAAATTTAATTCCTAAAATGAGCACCCCAAAATTATCAGCTGCGCTGAATGTTTCATCTGCTCTGCATCAAAGAATTAATGATATTCTGGCGTCAAGGTAATAGTAATTTCTCATCATTTTACTTGTAATAGATTAAGTCAGGAGCAAGCTGTTGTATCGACCATTCCTCCTAAGAATTTCTGCGTTCAGGGTGTACAATCCCTCGTTGGAGCTCCAGTAATTTCGGATGAGTTTGTCTCCGAAAATGCTTTTCTCGCAACTGGTGATCCGGTAAGCAATAGTGTTATTCCTATACTTTTTCCAGCGCTTTCTTTTATTTTTCACTAATTCAATTTGTGCCCCGATTGGATAGAATTTCACTGGACGTACTGTTGCCTCTGCAAACTATGCTGCAATTCCTTTCTTCCCTCAACTTAATCAATTTGGTAAGTCACGGCTATATTTAAGTACATGGTTTAGTTTGATTACGTTTGTATTAAATTTGGAAAGTTTTATTCGGTTATCAATTTCCACTAAATTACCTAATCTGCTTTAATCGCTTATATCTTTGTAAATATTTCGGTTTTAAAAAAAGTGTCTTTTGTTATTTTTTAATTATTAAAATATTTATTAGCGATTTGATTATATTCAAGTTTAAATGTTTTATTTTGACAAAGTATTTGATGTCGTCTAGACATTACTATTCGGTTCCAATTACTGTTGCGTTCTTTCTTTCCGGTTTGCCTTTTAAGAAAACTATTTTCTTATCGATATAGTTTCCTTAAATTTGTCCCAACTTGGAAAGTTCATTTATAAGTGCAGAATTTACTCAGATTTTGTTTGTACTTATATTTTCCAGTTGTTTCAGTTACTACTACTTATAGTTTGTATCTGAGGGCGTATTTCTACTTTTTAAAGATCTCGTGTTTTTAACTACTATTCCGATTTTTCCGCTTCGTCATTTAAGGAGCGCTTACAGGCTCCTCTCTTAGTGTTCGTGTTGGCTGGGTCCACCGATTACGACCAACACAATTATTGCTTTCTATCCATAGAGTGTAAAATACACTTTTTTGCTTCTTCTACATCATGAGTCATCTCATTTATCTGTCTTACACTTGCTCTTTCTATCGCCAGCAAGTGCAGTGTAAATATATCTTTAACGGACACCATATAGGTGATGCAAGTAAATGTAAAAGTACATAAAATCCACATTATTTAAGCATAAAATTAAGGACCATAAAACAAAATGTGGGATGGGACAGCCGTTTTATTTCGTTGACTATAAACATTCACCATTGATCCTATGAGGATATTTATACAGAATAATTTAGCCGTTGAGTCCATTTTCTTAGTTGGCGCACCTTGGGTCTCGGTGTTAGTGCTTAAATTTGGTTCAGCAAAATTGTGAATCGACTTCTAACACGGTTACCACTTATACTCGAACAGTCATTCTAGCCGTTGGGGTAAAATATGCTCGGGATCTGTCTCCAGTCTTCTGGTTAGACAAAGGCCATTGTCTTACTTTGATAATTAGAAAGAGGGTTTATCACAATGCATAACGAGGAACACCCTACTATCCGCAATTCCAATCTTTATTCTTAACTTCATTTATCCAATACACGAGTTGGGTAATTTAGTCGGCGAAGTTTGTCGCCATTTTGTAGCTTTAAACGTCTCGTATTTAAGCTTTGAAAAGGAGTGATGGGTTCGAGATATAATACTCCTGAGCGGAGTTAATTTTGTTAGCTTCAGGCCCATCAATTACTTAGAAATATCACCCAGTCGCTCAGCTAGTCCTAAATGATTGGTAGTTTTGAAAACTACGAATTGGTATAAGCCATCAGCCTTAACCTATATTATTATTTAAGCACTCTTCATATAGCCTTGAAAGTCCAGCACTTGAGGCTCTCTTAACTCAGGTCTGTGCTTTGGGATGGTTTTTCTCTTATTGAAAAGCACTCATTAGGCCACTTTTGTATCAGCTCGAGCTTACATATATATATATATATATATATATATATGTATATTCCGATGGGTTTCGAACTATCATGGAACCACCTTCTCGGAGGAGAATTGTCTTCTAAAGAGCGATCCGTTTAAAGGAATCGAATCCCGCTTTGCCTGCTTCAAATCTCCTTAATATCATATGCTAGTCTAACCCTAACTGCTTCGATTGGCCAGTAATGGTTATCCTCCCCATACCAAAAAAACCAAATAAGTCGTTTTTGCTTCAGTAACTTCGATGATTAATTTCATTTTCTCTACTAATTACCAGCGGTCACACAGAGCTGAGAGAGGTCGTGGGAGCGAACTCCAATTTAGCTGTCTCTTTCTCCGTTTTCAATAGGGACACATTGCCCTAGGCCGTGTGTTTCTCTGCCATTCGTTCTCTCATTGGCTGCCAGCCTCCGCGCAGCTCTGGCGTGCATGTTTGTCTATCGATTGCCTGTCCGCTTCTCTTTGCTGTTGCCTTAAGCCTACGCGCTTTGGTGCGTACGTGTTACCTCCCAATTTGTGCGGAAGCCTTTCGTGCGTGTCTGCGCTAGTGTGACTCTTAACTAGGCTTGCCACCCAATTTTGGCGCCTCTTTTTTCTTCTGAGGGCTCTAGTCTAGATCGTTGAGATAAGTATTATTTATGGCAAAGTAATACTAAGCGCATTAAAAGAATGTCATTTATTGGACTTCTTGGGTATTTGCAAGGAAAGAATTTTAGCGATTTACAATTTTTCTCCCTTGTCTATATGTTGATTTCTTGTAAACACACAAATTTCACTATTTCATATGAATAATTAATAACCTCGAAACACATAAAAAATCATTTGTTGTTTGAGGTTGCTACGCAGGGGCACTTTTGATAAATATGCTAGTCAATTTATTTACTCTCATTACTGAGTTCTCGAGTCTCGTAAGGCCAGATTTGACAAACTAACGCCAATGTAAACTACAGAAGATTGTGTGAGAGAGAACGGTTGTGGTAAAAAGTTCATTGGAGGAAGTTATGAAGTAGTGGTAGAAATTGAAAGGGATTTTTTTAGTTCGGTTGGATTTTGATAGTGAAGGGGATGTAGCAATAACCATATATCTGTGGTGTCGTGTTTGCTTACAGAGGGAATTGATCCAAATGGTTGGAAAGATTCGAAGATCTGTCTAGCATGATGAATTAATTTGAAAACATGACTTATGTAAACATTGGTTGATTCTTTCACCCTAAGGTTGGCCTCTCAGGGTTTTCCTTAAAGCGTTATATCGGATGTTTTAATTTGCCCCAATTCCGTCGTAAGAGCAAAAGTGATCACATTATCATTAATTCTGTTTTTTTCGGACTGCCTATTACATGCTAGATCAACAATTCATCCAAATAATAGCATCTTAAAGAAGAGCCTGTGAAGTCACAGGTAACCTGAAGCGTAACTTGTTGGAATTACAGCTTAAATGAGGTGGCATAAACTTATGAAATTTACTTAAGATAGGGGTTATATTGAGGTCATTCAGACAATTCAATGTGAGCAGAATTCCTTTAAAAATAGTATGATATGCCTCAAGTCCAATGACTTTTTGACCAAATTTTGCTTCTCCTAATATTTGGCTACTAATTGTAAAATTACCAGTGTTTCAATACATGGAGAAGCGTTTAGATATGTTTTTTTAAAAGAGAGATAGAAAGACGGTCGGTTTTACAACTTTCGGAGCTTACGGGGTGTTTTCTGTGTCCTATATATGTGGGTCACAAAGCCCATGGGTGGCTAAACATGCCTATGATGTTATCCCCCTATAAGCGTCTTCGGACGTTTTAGGGGTTAGGAGTGTGTCAATTTATCGGAAATTGTTCTGTCTTAACAAGCTCAAGGGACCAATCTGCTCAAAGAATGCCAAAATTCTCAAATGGAACTCATGCCACTGGTCACTAATGGGATTGATTTTAATTTAAAATTCGATTTTATCAGTGACACCTGAGCTTTTAGAACGATATATATTTAAGTCATTATGTGTATTGGAAGGGAAATCGAACTAAGAATTAATCTAAGGTCACCCTCGTATTCTTATATATTTTAAAGTATTGAAATGGGAATGCTTTAGAATACTTGGTGGATGACTAAGTAACAATATATCGGGAATTGATAATTTAACACTGGTGCACCAATCATTACATGGACAGTACGCAAAACAATACCACTGACGAATAATATTTTGACAGGTTGTCAAGCAGTAATGGTCAATATCTTTCGCCTCTTGAGTTTCTAGTATCCTGAGGCTGGTCTTTCCCATGCCAAAATTTGTGGAGGTGGTACACAATTGGAGGAATTATATGTGCACGCGAGAAATAGATCCTGGATACAATCCCCACACATTTTAAGCCCCATGCATGGTTATATTTATCCCCTGGGAAGTATTAACACCGCCTCCGTTGGTAATATTTCAGCCTTGATTCCTTGGGATTTGTTTATTTTTAACTTCTTTTTGGGGAATCAAGAAACACCGAGAAGGGATTCTAGAAGCTTTAAAAAGAAGATAGGAAAGTCTCTGGACATTAGCTTAGTCCATCAAAAGAGTTTAGGGTCTGCCTTAACTTCTAGTTGGCATAATCGAGTCCAGACTGGTCATTCAGTTAGCGTCTCTAACCAGTATCTGTGATATAGACGCCACTCCTGTGGTGAATAAATCTATTCACTATTCATTGCGAAGTCGATAAAATGATGGAATTTTGTTTGTCGTGGGACGATTCCATTCCACGGACAACTTCGTCTGTTTGAGCAGGCGAGTAGGCCAAGATACTTTGAGATCTTAAAAGAGGTCAAGGAACCTGTGCGCTCCTGGAGTAAAGGTTATTTTGTTTCCCTTTAGCAATGGCCCAAAGAGGAGCCACCCTGGTGACAATCAGTGGTCCGAATGGTAGTACCACCACGGGAGCAGTTGTGGGTACTATTGGACCGCCAACTGGACAATCAGGAGGAGGTCAACTCATTGTACCCCTGCAGACTGCTCCTCCTCAACTGCAATCACAACAGCAGCAAAGCGCCGATCCAACTGCCGTTCTTCAGCAGCAACCGCAGACAGCGAAAGGTGACCAGTCCTCTGTCTGCGATCAGACCTGTGCTGCATTGATTACCACCACTGCTCCTCAAGGCACTATCTCAACTACTGCTGCAAATGGACATATCATTGTAAGTCCATAGAGTTGTCTTATATTCCAAGGTACTCTAATAGTTGTTTTGGTCTTAGAGGTGGAGATAGTTTATTTTAACTGGATCTAGTAGGTCCTTAAAGCGTTGGGGAGCAAAAAAGTTAGTTTACTCTATGGGAGTGGGGTGAAGCAGAAAGGAGTTGGGGGGGGGGGGGGGGGGGGGGAGGGATGTCCACTTGGGAGAATTTCACGAGAAACACGAAAGTCGAGCATGGATTTTCAACAGTGATATTGACACGGGTTAGTTGTGTCGATACGAACTCCGGTACTTATTTCCGTCTTCTTCCTGCCTAGGGCGTCAAATTATGCTTAACCCAGCACCAATAAATTATGTTTATGTTTAATCCAAGTGCAGTTTAGTCATTGTCGCAGACAATGAAGTGGTAACTGGATTATTAGTGTTCCGTATGTAGGTTAATGGCTATAAGTACTACACCCCTCCCTCTCCCCCCCCCCACATGTAGCTACTTTGTATTTATGACATTGGGAGTGCAAATCGATTAACGTACTTTCCGTGTCATATTGTCCTTTTTTTCAACTGCACACTTGAGCACTTGGTTTATTTCCTGTCCACTCTGATTCCTGCAGTATCTAAATGTTTAATAAAAGTGTTAGTACAGCGTATTTCAGTGAAAAGCACGACCAATAGTTCTGATTAAAAACAGTTAAAAAAGCGATGGTAGAATTCGAGTGCCTCATTAGAAAAGCTGCCCTTTTCCACAAAAGCCTTTGCTAGAAAACGCCCCCTCTGAAGGCGTTTTTTTGGGAATCAAAGCCCCCCAGTGAATATGCATACATTTCCTTTTACTAGGGCATTTATCCCCAAATCATGTGCTATATCGCGGTTATTAGGGTGTGATTTCAGGTCATTTGGCAAAGAAGCAAGCATAGCATTGAGGAAATGGTATCAAGTGTTATATAAGTGCACGTTACGCTTCAAAATGATTTTGTTTTCTCGACCCCTTACTCTGTGGCCTTGACCGATAATTACGTATATTATGTTGCAGTTTTTTTTGCGAAATTACTAAGCCATCTTTTATGTTTTTGAATCAGATTAAAATCATTCGTGAGCACCCGTTTGTAAGCGATCGGGCTAATCGACGCACAAGATTAAGTAGGAGGTCACACATTCGATGCTCGTAAATTCACTCCAATTGGCTAGTGAAGGGGGGGGGGGAATTCCAGCTTCTGATTAGGCAGGATCCATGACTCTTTCCGTCTATCCGCAGTGAGTGTTATAAAGTGATCCCCTAAGTTGATTTGCTGGTTATTAATACCATGATTAAAAGGCTCGAATTATTGCTACTGAAATTCTGTGAGTCATTCATATTGAATTAAAGAACTAGGTCACTTTCGTTGCTTGTCTAGTTCAAAGTAACCGGCATTTTCTTAGATAAATCTCAATCCCATTTTGCAGCATCGTTCTTCAACGCTCACTTTAGGCAATGAAGCACTTTTGTGAAGCTTTCATTCTAGTTCCCTTCCTCTAGTTAGTTTTATCTAACTGGGGTACCTCCCTGTGGTTTTTGTCTATTACTGTAAGTCTGCTTACCGATAAAATGATTTAGTGAGAGCATTTTGCTTCTATACACAAAGAGTTTTGAAAGTAGGTTCACCGTTCTTGTGATACATGTGCAAATTCGACTGGCTTTAAGTCCTACTTTATTTATTGCATATTGATCAACATTGTGGGCACCTATGCTTTTCATTACTGTTTCTATACTGTCATTAATTTGACCCATTTTTGTATAACCTTGTCACGTTCGAGCGTTTCATTAATCCGCCAAGTTTTCTTTACTTTTATTCACTGGAGTATGCCGCATTTGATTACTACCAATTCCTCCCCACACTGGCTTGCGAGAACCATATCAAATTTTAAACGCAAATCTGCAAATTTTTTGAATGTCTTATCCTCTCTTCTCTTCTAAATCCCCTAACTTTTGAGGGTTTTTTTCTCACTTATCGGTCACAAAGTCATAAAATGGAGGCAGATATTGTTTTTTGGTGGTAGAAATGACTGGGAATGGAGGATTCAACATTGCATGGAATTATTGGGTGGGCAACTAAGTCATTGCCGTTTTTGTTGACAGATTCACTCTATACTTTCTTTTGTTTTGTTAACATGGCCAGAGCATCTAACCTATATTTTTTCTTACTGTATGGGCTTCTAGGTTAATTAGTAAAAAATTTTTTTTGTTTAGTTCTTTAGTTTTGTTTTTATCCCAATTTAAAAATGAAAGAACAGGACGTGCACTTCCGACACATTTTATTGTATTACTTCCGAAAAGGCAAGAACGCATCGCAAGCACAAAAGAAGAAGTTATGTGGCGTATATGGAGATGAAGCCGTGAGGAAGAAAGGCAGTGTCGAAATTGGTTTGAAAGATTTCGTTCCGGTGATTTTTCACTGAAAAATTCACAACGATCTGGCCGCCCAGTCGAAGTGGATGAAACCCATATCAAGGGCATTATCGATTCAAATCGTCACAGCACAACACGAGATATTGCAGAGAAGCTCAATGTGTCGCATACATGCATTGAAAAAAAATTAAAAACCCTTGCTTATGTCAGGAAACTTGATTTATGGATCCCTCACCAGTTAAAGGAAATTCATTTGACGCAACGGATTAGCATCTGTGATTCGCCGCTACTGAAACGCAATGAGAATGATCCATTTCCGAGGAAGAACCTAGTTACTGGTGACGAAAAGTGGATAGTTTATAACAATGTTACTCGCAAGAGATCATGGGTGAAGCAAGATCAACCAGCCCAAACAGTATCAAAAGCAGAGATTCACCAAAAAAGATTATGCTGTCAGTCTGGTGGGATCACAAAGGAATTTTGTATTTTAAACTCATGCCGCAGAACCAAATGATAAATTCAAATGTGTATGTTGAACAACTGGAAAAACTGAAAGAAGGATGCAATTGAAGATAAGCGGCCGGCATTATCAAATCGGCGGAAGGGTGTTGTTTTCCATCATGATAACGCAAGGCCCCCCCCCCCCACACATCTTTGGTTACTCGGCCAAAATTATTGGAACTGGGTTGGGATGTTTTGTCACACCCACCATATAGCCCTGACCTTGCGCCTTCGGATTACCATTTGTTTCGTTCCATGCTAAACTCTTTAAATGGTAAAATTTGTAACAACGCGGATGATGTCGGATCACACCTAATTCAGTTTTTTAATAGCAAAGACCAGACATTTTACGAACGGGGAATTTTTACTCTGCCAGAACGATGGAAAAAGGTAATCGACAAGAACGGCCAATATCTAATTGAATAAAGTTATATTTTTAAACAAAAATTCCGAATTCGCCTTCTTATTTGAAATCAGCAATGACTTAGTTGCCAACCTAATGGATATTTGGGAAGAATATGAAAGAATGCTAGCTGATTACTATGGTGCTACCTTAAGTTCAGTATGTGAAGGCAGCACTAGTTCCACTTACCATGGTCTCATCAGTATTGATGACCGAGTTAGTGATTTTGGGAATCGCTTGCTGTACTCGTAAGAAGGCACGTACATGCCACCACGTAAGTAACATAGGGGCCTAGGGTGAATTGATACTGAAGCGAAATGTTGGTGGTAATTGGCTAAATTAGGGCGTTCTCAGCATCATGCTCTCAGTTATGGTGTAGGATTGCATTCATGCTAACGAGATGCCCACATCTTCTCATTCATGGAACTCTAGGCTTTTCGGTCCTTGATTCCATCTTTCTTATATTTTGTCGATTGCATGCCCATTAGCCTTGTCATTTGGTATCTCAATAAAGATCTATTATAACCACATTTCCTCAATAATCAGATTTTTGAGTAGGGTCTTCTCCTGTCATGACTCATTAATGTCATGAGAGCTACAAGTCCGTCTATCAGTTAGGCTAACCTAGCTTTGTTCCTCCCTTTAGACCGCATCTGGATTGGAATGTTCCGAGATCAAGCCTGACCTCACACCCTGTCTTCAACGAGTTGGCGGTAACGAGGATCAGCACCGCCACCAACAACAACAGGCTCCCACTCTCTACACTGTCACTCAATCCAACGTCACTTTTCTTCAACCTGACGCCGCTACCGCCACGAATAACGCCAATTCCCCTGGTCCAACCCCCAATCCCCCCAACCATACAATTGCTACTCAAAATGAAATAAGTAATGGGTCTGCTAACAGCTCATCAGGAGGTCCCTATCAGTGTACTAGTTGTGGAAAGGAATTTAGGGTACTCCGCTATCTCGAGAAACACAAGAGGATACATACTGGGGAGAAACCCTATCAATGCTGCTTTTGCGGCCGCTTATTCAACGATTGGCCTAATATGAATCGGCACAAGCGCATTCATACCGGCGAGAGACCTTATCGATGTTCAGTATGTTCCAAGACATTCTCTCAACCCGCGGTTTATAATGAGCATGTGAAAAGGCACACTGGAGAGAGACCGTATGTGTGCACTGTGTGCTCGAAGGGATTTCCACGGGCTGCTAGGCTCTCTGTTCATATGAGAGTACATACTGGCGAGAAACCCTATCGATGTGATGTCTGTGATCGTCGTTTTAGTCAACCCCATCATGTCTCTACTCATATGTAAGTTGGTTTCTTTCTGCTGCTATTCTGTTGGCCAGTCCAATGGCTAATTCAAGTAGGGCACCTTCGGTATTTTGTTACCCAATTGGTAACTATTAGATAGTGTTTACGCCACTTTTGAGTTATATACCCTGTGACCACCTGAGATCTAATGATCCGTTTATGTTCGAAATTAATAAACTCTAATTAATGAAGAATTCAACCGCTTCGCTCGTTAGTTATCAAGGATAGAGTGGTGCAGAATTTGGGAGTGAGAATCAGTGTAAATGCTTTAATGACATTTTATCTCCGTTTGTCTTTTTTGCTAAAGTCGAAAGCATCCTTAAATTCGGTGTATGTGTGTGTATCAAAGATGTTTGAGTACTAATGAGTATATTTATTTTTGTGTTGCTTCCAAGATTGTTATTCACATCTTATTTGAGTATCTATTGTGGTAGAGACAGATCTTTGTAAGGGGCTAATATAATGATGAGTCAGGTTTGCTTTCACGTTTAAAACCAATTTTTCTAACGTTATTTTCATAAAAGATACTTATTAGCTAAAATTTATTCGAATAGGTTGTGCTTTATAGTGCTCATCTATGGAGCACGTTTGGACAAGAAATTCACTTTCTATCAATTTCATTTAAACTATGCCGTTGGTCGGCATGACCCCTAGTTTGTTTAATTCCTCCTATTCATATCAACGTTATCGAATGGTGGATTCGATGCTTATTGACACAATTTACTGATGGTGAGGACAAAAATACTGATCAAAACTAGTCAAGAGAGGAATGACGTAGTCCAGGTTGCTGTTTCTCTACTTAAGGCAAGACTTTGACGATCCCTTTCTTTAACGACTCGGGGGGGGGGGATATTAAATTAGGTAATTCTTTAGTTCATGTTTCTGATCTCACGGTCTTCTGTTAGTCCTCTTAGTACTCAGATTTGTATGTCAATCTCGAATCCGCTATGTACTCCCAAATACAAGTTAGCGTATTTTTCCGTCTGTTACCAAGTTACATTTTATATCCCCTTTCTAAATATGTTATGGCCACGAAGTGCATTACTACTGATGAATTTAAAGTCGCCTAAGGCCCTAGTAACCGTGCCAATCACTGCGGAAACACTTGTCTGCTTGCAGACCTGTGTAGATCAAGGAGAGGTTTGGACCATTGATATACTCAACCACAATCCCACTCTACTATAGAAATGTAATCTTTGTGGCAAAATTATTGTTTCCTGTCATTCTTTAAGTAGCTTTTCTTAGACCACCTTTATATCATTGTCTTTTTGGCCTTCACGACTCCTTTTTTCTTTATATTGCCTCCACATGTTTAGTGTCGCTCTTCGATGAGCTTGTATGAAGGCTTGTTATTACTGCCCACTGTTGTATTTCTCTCCTCGAGGTTGGTGTTATCAGAGTAAGCATTTTAAAGTAATGGAAATACCCAATTTCTTGCCTCGAGTACTCAATGCTAACATTTAAACGCTTGTTATGCCTTCTCTTGCATATTTTTCACGGACAGTGACAAATATCATATTGTCATGGTTCTGTTTTACTTCCCCACAGACGAATCCACTCTGCCAATAGGTCTTCTCGGTCAAGTCTTCGGGACGGAGCAAACTCCCGACGCAATCGTAAACAGGCGGGTGAGAAATCCGCAACAGCAGCATCAGATGCAGCCGATAAAGCATCAAATGAGGTCGGAAGCAGTGTCCCCAACGCTTCATCACCTAGTGTACAGGGTAACCAAATCAGTGTTCTACCAGGGTCTGTTGATGAAAATGGTGCTGATACCTGCGGGGACTCCGTTTTCCATTCGGATTGTAAGTTATCATTTACTTACTCCATATTTAAAATAATTCCCGAGTCCTGGTGAATGGCACTGAGTCTAAGTCAGTTTTGATCCCAACAAGCAAAACGCTACTTGAACCTCCCGGCCAACTTTGACTTAAAAATCCCTTTATACAAATATTACTCTTTTAGACTATTAGGATTTCACGGCCTTTTTTGAATGAGAGGACTCAATGTGTATGACTGAAGCAGTTGGAGATGGTTTTGGTTATTTGTAAAAGAAGTTAAGTGGGTCAGTACTACGAGAGGGTAAACCATGTTTACACTACCGTTGACTTAGCTATGTTGAAGTATTGTAGTGATTTCACATCCTTTGTTCGTTGTTGAACAAGCTGTAGAAATCGTCATCAGACGCGCACATAGGTTTGTATTCTACAAGCCTCTAATTGAGGAACTAACTTTCAGTCACCGATAAGTGGCTCTGATCAAAATCTAATTAAATTCCTCTGAACGAAGTTCGTTACTTTTTTTCTGAGATTTTTTCAATTATTGCTCCTGCTTGTTCCCAGTTAGCAGTGAAGTTTTCTCAGTACTGCCTAAGATTTCATCTCAGAGGGGTGTATAATTCGGTTATTATTTGAGTACTGACAACGAACAAAAGAATGACAACATTGTTGAGTAATAATTCTTCTCCACCTTTCTTAAGCCTAATTTGCTGCAGTCGTAGTGATTAGCCAAGATTGTGTAAACGAATAGGCAACATCATATCGGTTTCACATTCAAACGTTTTCTTCGGTTAAGATTGACTCCGTGATCTGTGATGTGGAAAATACGCACGTTTTCCGTTGTGTCATTGATGAATGTTAGCTATTTAATAAATTGAACAAGGGCATAGTTTTCAACATTTATGTTTTTTGTAAATCGAGACTTTCGGAATACGTATTTACCATGGTTGATGTTTGGTAATTTCACTGGTTTCTTCCGAATGGCACAAATTGCTGTAGATAATTGCCACACTGTTAAAGCTATCATAAACAGGGGCATTCAGTCACTTTTTTGGGCTTTGATTTTGGTTACATTGTTGCCTGATAATTAAGTGGGCATTCAGATTGTCAGTGGAAACGATAATCGAGGCCATTCCACGACAACGGTTTGGTGTTATGTACTAATTATGCACCAAAAAGTTGCGGTAGTTGGCGTAGACTACCGTATTATGTTATTCCTACCATTTTATTCTTTTTTTTCTCACAGCCACAAAGTCATTGCACTCTCAAGAAGGTGAAATGCAAATGACCACAAATGCTTCACCAATTGAACCAACCTCTCTTTCCACTTCAACTCCAGTTGCCATGGAGGCGTCTGTGACGACGACTGGAACAACAACTGATGTTTCTGTTTCGGTTGTTAATTCCATGCCCTCCAACATCGGAATGTCGGCTTCGGAAAATTGTTATGTTCAACCACATCCACCACCATCACATATCTTTGATTCTAATGGCACCATCTATATAAGCTCTGTAAGCTCTCACTTTGTTTTGTATTCTATACTTATCATTTCCGGGTTATCGAAGTTATCTGATATTCACACATACGTGCTTGGTCAAAGGCCATGACTTGCTCAATATCTATTGATGGCTATTGTGCTGTGCTATTGTGAGAATAAGACACTTTATGAGGCTGACATTTCTTAATTTACTATGGAAAGAGTGATCGAGGGAAAAATATTTACAAGACTACTTCCTTTACAAGAAGAAATGGAGCGATAGAACATAATGGGCACCACCAATCAAAGCAATATGGGCGCACTATGTCGTGCTGATTCATGCTCGGAGAAGTGCTTCCTTATTGTAATGTCAATGTCATTAGCTTGCCCTACTACCCATTCATAGCCTACGATTAATATATTCTGATCTAAATATAGACTAGCATTATCTTGTATCGCTGCATCCATTTTAGATGGAAGGAACGGCAGGCCTTTCTACTAACGGTTTGAGCACAGGTCCTGAATCTGCCATGACTACGACAATCACATCAACCCTTCCTCAAATCCAAATTCATCCCTCCGCAGCGGCAGCATTTTCAAATGATCCTCACCACCATCTTCAACCTCAACAGAGTAGTGGTGGTCCCATCCAAATCTGCTATTCCACAAACCCCAACCGTAACCCCTCCGATTCCGCCACAATCATAATGTCTCCGGGAGGCCAAAAAGCGCAACTTTTCAGTCCCATGCTAGTACCGATTGGCCCCGCATCTCAGTTTCCTTATCCTCCTACAGCGGCTGCTGCTTTCCAAACTCTGCCGCCGTCAGATCAACAACAGCAACAACAGTCTTCTGGCGCAGATGGAATAATGTCGACGTCAACTCATAGCGCAGTTTCTTCATCGTCTATAGCTGCTGATGTGTAATTATTAAGTTTGCGCTTGTGTACATATTTTATTATTCTTCCATATGCACTTTCGACCCATTTGGTTCTCTGCCCTCCACTGCGGTTCCTATCTGATTGGAAAAACGTGTTACTCCCTTCGAAAACTGTATTTTTATGTTATTGTTGGCACTGTGTGTACTAGTGTATGTTGCGTATGGTCCTTCTGTTTGTATGTATTATGGTATCTCCAAACAATCTGATAATTTGACGGTAAATGTAGTAAACTTGATCAGTATACTTTTTGATATTCATGGCTAATGATTTAACACGATGATGGTGTAAATGTTGAAAATTTGGAATAAGTGGAGTCACCCGAAGCCAAAGGGTATTGTGAAGTTATGCATTATTGGCAACTTAGTGAGTATTCTTGTGAGCTTCTAAACACAAAACCACTACTACTTTGTGGAGGGGCGGTGGATCATATCGATTGGCGTATTGTTAGACTTCTGAAATGCGGAAGTATGTATTGCGGAATTTATACTTAGTGATATGAAGAGTAATGCGGAGTACGCCCCCATACGAATTTGTGAGTGCAATGGATCATCCACTGTACTTTGAAAAATTAAAGAAGGGTTTAAGTTAGCTTCATGTTTCAGAGGAATCTTCTAACCACATTTCTGAGTTAATACTAAAATGTGCTTCGACGTTGGTGGATTTTGTCTGTGACGTTTGCAACACTTTCATAGGAAAAAATGCAAATGGTCGTGCATTGTTCATGCAGGGGCTTCCCAAGCTATCGTCGATCTACTTTCCTGCAGTTTCATTATATCCATACGCGCTTAGCATTTCAAGATGCATACGCCCTATATCCTTTCTTTTTGGCAATTAAAGAGATTTAAAAATGAGTAGGATTTCAATTTCGATAAAAGCAGATTATTTATAACTATAAATAAACATAAACATGTAGACATCAAGTGTGTCTTAAAGAAAATACATGCATTGCGATAATGCAAAAGGTTTTTGTCGAAGGGATCAAGTGACCTCAGGTATCACAGTTACAGACCCTTTTAGGTCATTTAATTTCAAACAGCCCTGCATTGCTCGTTACTTTTATTGGCTAATGATATTCGCCAGTTAACATTGTTCACTAACTCGATCAACACGATTAATGATACTTGGCTTTATCATTATAATTAATACACTCTTATCATCATCTCAAGCAGCACATTTGATTTTTGCTGTTCCACGAATTAATATTGGAACTATTTTAAAACATTTCGTGAAGCCTCATGCTCTCAATAATTAAAATAGCGATGCACTCATAATTCTTTTAATATCTACGACCTTACTATCGTCTAAAAAAGTAAAGCATTAGGACAAAAACCTACGATTTGTTCCAAAATAAAGCTTCAAAGGGAAGAAATTATCAACGGGAGTATTGAACGTAAGTATGCGTTTTGATAATTATCAATAGCCCTGGGAAGAAACATCAAAGTGAAAAATTCGACAGGGGGGTTGGACAGAAGAGTGTTTCAAAGATGTCAAAGAGACAGACATACGTAAAGGCAGAGAAAAGGTGAGGTGAGCATTGTGTAAATGATCGAATATGACATGGAGTCAGGTCATGGTAGTTTGAAGTCAGAAGTCAACTGCCTGTTAATAGACCTTTTTGCCGTGTTAGTATACATTGCCTAGGGTGCACCACGTGGAGGTAGGTCTATCGCACACTCCGGTATGCAGTGTAATATTGATTCATGCTAAAGTGTACTACATGATATATTGCTGTTACGGCATTAATGTTGTTTAACCTTCTTGCAGAAAATGCCTTTGAGGAGCAAATAAAAGTGATTCAAAAGTCGTTATTTAGTAAAACGTATATTCTGTTATTATGTGTTATATGACATTTAATCTGTATAGAGCGTTGAGCTATTTGAGATATTTTTATAATCTCAAGCATTTTGCTAATTGAAGCGGAAAATAGTGATTGGTGAAAAAATGCGGCTCAAATACTGACTTATAGATATTGCATAATGACTAGCATATGTATATATGTGAGAGAAGTTAATGGAGAGCAGATTATCTATGTAACAATTAGATGATTCAATAGATTAGTTTTTAATGTTCATATTTTCATCGAAATCATGTGGTAGTGATAAATAATATTAAAGTCCATACGAAATTGAAATTAATGAGTTACATTAGCATTTCATTCCATACTAATTCTTGCCAACAGCTTGTCATAGGAAAGGGATACGGAGCCATATACAAACTATGATAATCTTGTATAGTGAGTACCATCAGGGTAATGTGCTGATAAAAGCAGGATTCCCCAACAATCTGACATAAAATGACTGTTTTTGAGATTTGACACTGCATTCGACGGTGGTGCCAGCGCAACCAGCTCTTGAAGTGACAAGCGGATTAAAAGGTATAAGAAAAGCATAAATTTACTTGTTTTGAGTATGAGTACACCATTAAAAGAATTTTGAGAATAAACTAATAGTCCCGATATCTTCATTTTGTTAAGATAATTTTGCAACAATACTATATTTTGTAAAATTCAATATTACATCCCACTCATAACACGTTGAACAAATTTATTTCGAATTTATGGATAATTAAAATATTATTAGAAAGATGGGGTAATACAATAAAAAGGCAATGAAGAGCAACTTTGATATCGTATAATCATAATTTCACGCAATTTTAGCAGATTTAATTAAGTTTTATAAAATAAGGTCTAAGCAGAACTCATAAAATAGTTGCGAAATTTATTGAGTACATTTGTGCTGCATATAAAATTTTATATCTTATTTAATGCGAATTAGCGAAACTATTAAAACTTTCATTTAAATCTCCTAATCGTTAAGAAAAATAATATTTTATGTGTAATTGAGTGATTTACTTTTTATTTAATAAAATTCATTACAATAAAATTTTTAACTTATATTTGTTTTTAATCACGCATAGCCTTCGGCGCCACTTCATCCGATTAGGCACGGTTTAGTGATGGTAGGCGTTTATTGCAATATTCTATTAATTTCTTAGTCTCTTATGCTACCAGAGAAGTTTCAACACATTCTTCGTGTTATGAACACGAATATTGATGGTCAAAGAAAGATTCCCTATGCTCTAACTGCCATCAAGGGTGTCGGCCGTCGTTATGCTACCGTTGTGTGCAAGAAGGCCGATATTGACGTCCGCAAGAGAGCCGGTGAACTTACTGAAGATGAAATTGAGAAACTTGTAACTGTTATGTCCAATCCACGTCAATACAAGATCCCTGACTGGTTCCTAAACAGACAAAAGGACATTGATGACGGCAAGCACACCCAAATTCTCGCTCAAGGTGTTGACAGTAAACTCCGTGAGGATTTAGAGCGTCTAAAGAAGATTCGCGCTCATCGTGGTCTTCGACACCACTGGCTGTACGTTTGCTATATTTTTTATTGTTATTCCTTAAACCTTTTCTAACTCACTTTTTTATAGCCTTCGAGTTCGTGGTCAGCATACCAAAACTACTGGTCGCCGTGGACGTACTGTTGGTGTTTCTAAGAAGAAGTAAACTGTCTTAATAAAGTCTTTAATGGACACGGATTGATTTTTCTGTGATTTTGACTTATGGTGATTTTATTATAAGTTACTGAGTAACTATATGCTATGCCATTTCTGCGCTTCAGACGTAGTGGACACCAATCTAATTCTCTGGGAAAATTTACTCAATTTAAGTCGTTCTACAATTTTTGTTGATTTTTTATGTATAATTGGCCTTGACTGATCTCTGCTATGCATGAGAAATTTAGTTTCGATATTCAAATTTCAGTCACTCTTTGGTTCTTATTACTGCGTATCTTGCTTTGTGTCACTGTAGGTATTCTATTATAAGTTTTTTCGATAATTTGTTTTATTACAGATTGGTGTGCTAAAGTAACACCGCCGTTTTGAGCGTCATGGAAAGGGATGATTAACCATTTTGTGGACCTTTTGTAACGTCGATGCAGTTTCACGTTAAATAGTTTGCCTGTGCAGTACGATTAATTTTCAATGTTTCACATGGAGCATCTTGGCAAATGCTTTATCTGAGGTTTGACTATCGTGAATGCCTTTTTTTAATTTTAGCGTTTCTATTCATTGATCATTCAAATTTATTATTGTGTTCTCCTTCGCATTAGATGACTTTGCAGACTGGTTTGTTTGAGGTAGAATGTAAGATAGATGTTTATCTTCGTGATTATCTTTAATGATTTCATCCCCGCGTTGTTGTATTTTGTCCTTGGATCGCGGTTGAAGCCGCTAGTATTTCAGGTTCATTAGAGTATGCTACTTAAACAAGTTAAGTAGACAAATTTTACGAAGCTTTGGATAGCAGAATTAATCTCAATAGTGGGGTTTTTACTTAAGCGTCTTGCTGCACTTTGCAAATGTTTCCTTAGAATTAAGCTACTTATTAAATTTCTGTGATGCCGAAAGTTTCATTTTATTCTACTTCTGTGATGGTAATTAATTTATGACAACGATCACTCGATCGGCGGTTGTTCTGAATTTGGAAGATAAGTGAAATGCGGAAGCGTTTGAATAATTTTTTTATAATCAATATCATTATATGTATATGGTTCCTTGTGTGTCTAGCGCGAGCCTTGAACTTTCAGAAGGGCTCATTCCGTATAGGAAGAGTCAAGCTTCAGTACCAAATAAAGAAAAATTGTAAGACTACTTCTTAACTTTTAACCCCAATTGACCGCAGACTTTCGGAAAACCCCTGTAATATCGTATTAGCATAGAGCTTAATATGTACATTGAATTATGGCGTCCCTACTGGGACTTAACTTTATCCAGCAGCTAATCAAAGAGTTATCGTTGCTTTTTTCTGTGCCATCATCGTGTTGAATTGGAAGTTGGAATTTAAATAGTTCTATTTGATCGGTGCATGAAATTTCGATATCTAGACATTATGTCTTTAGAAGATTTGAGCTTGATCAAAATTACTGCTTTGAAATAAGCGTTGTTATTTGAGAAACTAACAATTAATAATAACGCCATTGAAATAGCTCATATGTGACGAGCTATTTTAGTGAGTGATAACAAAAGATCGAAAAACAATCAATGGCTCTTTCCTTTCTCAATCATGAATGTTTTGAAAGTCACCATTTATTACGCAAGATATAATACTAATAACTAAGTTGCTCTTCAATAAAGCGTAATACTAGGAAATCTAATTATGATTATTAAAATTGGTGATCTGATGGCTGTCAAAATGGGCTTGGACGAGCTTATCATGAGTACTGTGAGTCGGTCTAGAACCGTCAAATTACTTCACATTCAGCTAGTTAACCTGATCAAAAGCATTTAGTATTTGAATTGCTGATGCGAGAATAGGCAGCCTTCCACCAAATATTTGCTGAAAAGAAAGTTAAATGCAGTTATTGCGAAAATCGAAATCCGTTATTTTTGGTTTTTAAAATATTTATGATATTAAATGCAATTCCTCTTAACAGCTCAAAAAAAAATACCCAAAAATGGAGGAAGAGAGGAAAGCTAAGACACGTTTAAGGTTACTTGCTGCGGATTGCTTTGGTAACACGCCGTGACTTGTACTCAGTAAACTCTATGGCAGATTCTCCTAGTGTGGAATGACTCCCATGAATTAGCTAAGATACCGCAGAGATATAGGTAGAAAACAGACGTATGGTGCGTAATACGCTTATTCTAGTGATGTGTTGGGGATGTATATCGGTCGTGTCTTGTCCGTTAAACTGTCTGTTTAGGGTGTGTTGGGTTGTGTCGACTGACAGGGTGCTTAGTTATTGTAGACACTTTTGGGTATGATAACCGCGTAATGGCTTTGGTTATTGATTGATCGGGAGGTCTCTGCACTCGTGACCTCATGGCGTGATTGGCAAGACGTAAGCAATTCTGACGTTGCGTTCTCCACATGCTCAAGGCTTATTCAATCGTATTCACTTGTCTCAGAAAAATTGTGCAGTTTACGAGTTTAGTCTTAAGTTCGGATGAACCTTTTCAAAATTACGTTATATTTTCACTAAAAAGAGAAAAAAAGACATAAAGTAAAATGTAAATATTTATTTATTTATATCAAATGGCAGGCGTTTTGATAGTTATCATTAGCCCTTTTGTTGACTTCAGGCTTCACAGAGGAGAGAAGGAATATCAAAGCGAAAAATATTCGAGAGGGGTGAGGGGAACAGAAGAGTGTCTCAAAGGTAGAAATAAGGTGAGGTGAGAACTGTGGAAGTGGTGGAATATGACATACAGTGGGGTGATGGAAGTCTGAAGTCAGAAGTTAACTGCCAGTTAATAGACTTTTTTGCCGCATGACTATACGTTGCTCAGGGTGCACCACATGGAGGTAAGTCTATCGCACACCCCCTGATATTTCGTATATTGAGGCATCTCACAAAGGCTTAAATTACATAGTAATTTATTATTATAAGGAGTATTTCGATTATTTAATTACTCACAGCAAAGGTGTGAATGTAAGCTGGGAAAATTATTGTTGGAGGTTAAGGTGGGGGGGGGGGGGGGGGTTAAATAGGCATTTTACACCGAAGCACTCATATAAAACATCATTACATAGAAGTTGAAATTCAATTTCTGTAGCCAATAAAGCGAACATGTTCTCAGTTTCACAAACAGTGAATACGGAAGGCCTAAGTGGATAAACGCTAGCATGACATTAAGATAAAATGCGGTTGAATTTGTGGCTAATGAAATGAAGGATCTTCATGCTGTATTGGTTGGGCATTAAAAGACGTTCATATTAGCGTATATTTTCAAGACGGGGTGTGCGATAGACTTATTTCCACGTGATGCACCCTGGGCAACGTGTACTCATACCCCACTGTATGTCATGCTACACAGCTTTCACAGTACTCATCTCACCTTTTCTCTGCCTTTGTGCCTGTCTGTCTCCTCTACATCTGTGAATCACTCTTCTGTTCCCCCTCCCGAATTGTTCTCACTTTGATTTTCCTCCCTCTGCGAAGCCTAAACGTTCACACATCGGGCGTGAAATTCATCACTTCACTCCAATCTGAAATCAATCCTTCCTCTTCTAGCTTCGTAATGGACGTTTCCTTCATATATTTTTTTCCCTGCTATCTTTTAATCTTTCCAGTAGTAACGATCTGATAAGCGAAAATCAGAGTTCATTTTGAGCGAAACCTAATGAATGTCACCTGACTAGTATCAACCAGCTTTCTCGAACTTTGAAATTTCAAAAATTACATTGAAGTTATGAGAACGAACAACTCCATTAATTAACCGAAAGCAGTCACCTAACATCATGAGTAAGAATTAATTCTCCCCTGATGGTAGAAAATGGCACATGAAGTCGAAAATAGGGCTCAATTCGAATACTAAGATAAAACCTCTTTTTTACTTACTGCCAATCGACTTCCGACGTTAAAGAGTTGTAAAGTCGTTAGCTCTCTAGTGCTTAATACTGAATAAAGGAAGATAAGTGTCTCTTGACCTATAGCATATTGCAATTGAACTTTATAATGTTACTCCATTGTTGGACTCCCTAACCATCCAAGTGTGCGTGGATGCAGGCTTTCATAAAAAGAAAAAAACGAATCAGGGACACTCTTTTAACAATTTTCCTTTGGTCATAAGGAATTTCCGTCATGTGACACCAAGCTCTAATTAGGAGACAAATGGAAAATCGCCTTTCTGAACGGATTGCGGGTCCAAATAGCTGGTAAATCCATTTCTCCCATAATGAAATAAAACGTCAAAGTCAAATGGTTTGAATATTCTACTTTTTAAAACAAGGAGAACTTTTAATAATACTAGCAATGTTTGGTTTCAGTAAACAAAGATGAATTAGTGAATAGGTTAAAAGTGGGCACTTAGAAATACTGAAATCCATGAGCCTAAATCATCCGCCCTAACAATAAAATTAAATCCTAAAAGACATGTGTCCTTTAGTTAAATTGTAACGGAATATTAACGTAATAAATGCTCTTATGATCATATTAATGTTGAAGAGAGGTGGGGTGCGCTATAGACCGAAAGCCGAGTGATAGACTTTTTTGCCGTAAGAAAATACGCTGCCCAGGGTGCACCACGTGGAGGTAAGTCTATCGCACACAAACTTCCGGTTAATAGACTTTTTACCGTATGAGTATACGTTTCCCAGGGTGCACCACGTGGAGGTAAGTCTATCGCACACCCATCAGGGTGCACCACGTGGAGGTAAGTCTATCGCACACCCCGTAACTGAGGATATTATGTTACCCCTAAAGATAAAGAGATGAAAACTTAAGTCTTATCAACGTCTATATGCAACTTTATTTCATTTTTTACTAGTTTCAAATTTGATGGTGGACGATGCTTATTAATTTGAAGTAGAAACAGCTTTGAAGATCAAGTTATCCCGCGTATTTTGTTATGCTGTTAATGGATATTGTTGGTAAACAAACAAAAAAAATAACCCAAAGCACACAATCTACACAGATGAAATTATCATAACACTGACCTAGTCTGCAACGCTCATTTTGGGAGCCAGCCAAACAACTCTAGATATTCCAGCACATAATTATG